TAATTTTGTTTTTCAATTCTAAAATTTGAAGGTTCTTTTGTTTTTTTGTTGAAGAAAGTTACATATAATTCATGCATCAAGGAAAAAATATAATAAAAGATTATTATAAACCGAATAAATATCTAGAGAATGTGGTATTTTTCAAATGGAATTAGCGGCGATTGAGGCGATAATTGGAACAGTAGGGGGCACGTAATGTAATGAGGAGCAGCTTTCTAGTCTTCTACTAGTTTAGTGGTGGGGAAATGTATTGACAATTTTACTTCCAGTTCCTAAAGTCAAATCTCCACCAAAAATAATTATTGTGTGGCGGTCAATTAAAATTTCGGTTCAACTTTTGATTTATTCCAATTCTTTTTTTAGGGGACAATTTGCTAACTAACCAAAAAAAATTATAACTAAAAAGTAAAGAAAATTAGCATATGTGGCAAAACATGAATCTTTAAATCTAGGTTAATTTGTTAAAATTTTAGTTATAATTTTTTTTTGTGTTATTCATGCTAATTTCTTTTTTTTTCAATAAAAAAATGGTTAATTTGCTTAATAACCAAAAAAAAAATCATATCTAAATAAATAATTACAATGGCCCGGTATGGCTAAATAATAGCCATTAAATTTAGAATATTTGGTTACTTATTTAGATTTGTTTTTTTTGGGTTATTAAACCAATTAACCCTAAAAAAAAAATCTCAAAAATATCACAAATATGGACGGACAAAACAAATACACCCTTACAAAATATTACAAACATGTGAACTTAAGATGCAAGCAAAAAAAAACTTTTAAGTCACAGCTAAATCTTTTTTTTTTTACAAAAAAGTTACTCAAACTTCTCATTGTTCTAAAGATGGCCTCTCTCTTTTCCGGCTAAAGAACTTGACCAAGTTTGGAACTTTCTTCTTCTTCTTGATTATAAAGTAACTCGGAGTCCCTCTGTTCCCTGATGATGAGTATCTTCTAGACTTCCCTCCTTGAACCGGATTGAATTTCCCACTCAATCTCACCGATCTTCTTACCGGTTTAGGAGATATCAATCCTTTGTCTTCTGACTCCTCCTTGAACTTCTGAATCTCGTTCTGGACCAGTCTTTTTATCGATAGCGACCTCTGCATTCTAAACGATTCCCTCTCTTCTTCCACCATTGTTTTTCCACTCTCTCGCTTTAAAGTTTCCGTCTTTATCAAAATCGCCTTAGTGCTTGCCTTGAGTGCTTCCACCCACGCCATTGCCGCTTCCACTTTCTTCTCTGCGGTTTCTTCAGCGTGACAAGCTTTTCCACTCAAATACTCGTACTCGAATCTTGAGATTGTGATGGTTGTATTTCGCTGAGAATAAAACTCTCGTGTTTCCATTGTTCTCTCTACCATTGATTCAAGCTTCTCGAGAGCTAAAACCTCTGCGTGCTTCGCTTTCTCAAGCTCATCTAACTTGGAAAGCAACTCTTTTTCCTTTCCACCAAATCCTGTTTCGGTTTTCTGTATTTCATTCTTGATGATTGTTGCTTCTTCTTTGAGATTAAGCTCCTCTTTCTTTGCAGCTTCTCTATCATTCTTTAATTTCACAAACGAACAAGTTAAATTGTCAGCTAGAGAACTGATTCTTTCTTCAGCTTCAGATACTGCTTCTAATTTAGCTTTCCCCATAAGCAGCTTCGAATTGAGTCTCGCGATCATTTCATCATCCTTTTGTAAAATCTTATCAAACCGAGCTATTTCTTGTTTGGTTTGGTTAAGTTCTTGCCTCAACGCATCCATTATACTGACCAGACAAACGAGTTCGGCTTTAATAGAAGCCAGTTCCTCCTTCTTCGCTTCTGTTGCTTCGGTAACTTCTTTCAAAACTGACAAATTGTCCTTTCCCCTTTCGAAAGCGCGGTTTTTGGACCTCGACATACTATCATCTCTCTGAACCCTTCTCTCCATTTCTTTGACAAGCTTTAACTGAGTTTCTAACATCTCGATGTCTGATAATGTCTCGGATAACA